TGCAACGACTCTTACTACGGTTAGCGCTAACCGAGTAAATTTGCCGTATACAATGTCGTTTTTAGTAGAATAAAATCTTACCCGGTAAGTAAATGATAGTATTGAATTTTGTTGGTAAGTGCTTACTGGATAAATGTTTAATAAACGACTCCTCAATCTCATTGTTGAGAATGAATAAAGAATCATTTCTTTTTCTTCACATCAACTTTTAATTTTTTTTTTTAAATTTAGACTATTATATTGTTTTCTCTATTTTAAAGAATAATATAAAGATTAGAGAACAAAATCTTCATTTTCTCTATTTTAGGAAACAATACCAAAATTCTGTTGGAACAAATAGAAAACAAAACGGATAAAAAAAATAGGATTTGTGAGCTCCTTATAAGCCTCAGGTTGTAAGTTACAAATAACTTCCACCATAGTTTTAAGTTTTATTCGAAATTACTGAACTAAACTGTTACTTTGGGGTTTAGGGTGTTACACCAACCAAAAGTGAACACCATGTATACATTTATTATTGTATTTGTTGTATATAAATATACTTAAAAAGATGAAAAAGACACTTCAATAAACTATTCAAGGGGGTGTTTGTTGATTTTCCATTAACGACTTGTTTCTTAGCAATTTAATGAGACTGACAACTTATTTAATTAGATATACATGATTATTTGATAGTGACTTACTAATATAGAAAACGTCTTATTCGTTAAGTTTTTATAGAAATGCTCTATACATAAAATTTTCAAACTTGTCCCTCCAATTAAAAAACACGCATCTTCCAATCAATGAAAAAACCGTCTGAAACAAAAATCTTCTTAATCTATAAGGACAAATTAATCCACACTTACGGGCTGTTTGGCAGTTGCTGAATGGTTTTGTGCAGAATCATTAAGTGATCAGAATGATTAAAAGACTCTCATGATATAGTGCAAAATGAAATATAATTGTTTGATAAATTTTTACAATGAAATTATGGCTCTTAATGGTTAAGGGAGGCACAAGATACAAAATCATTCAGATGGTTTTAGAACCATTAAGAAACAGATTTTTTTTTCCAAACAAGATTTACCTTTTAACGATTCAGAGATTGTTTCTTAATGAAACTATTAAGAGGTAAACAAATAACCCCTCATTGTTACTAGATGCTTACAAAATAAGTCGTTTTTTTATATTATTAAGTTATTACCAAACATTCATATATAATTTTAAGCTACTAAGACTCCCTGCAATCCATTTACACTTTCAATTGTGCCACATCAGCTTTTGCAATTATCTTCCACACACCTGCAATTCACCTACAACACTTTCAACTGTGTCAC